TTGGGCAATCCTACTTCCGTAGTGATACTGCCTCGGAAACCCAAGGAGGGGTCGCTATGAGTCGGGGCCGACTTGACGGCAAATAACAACAACAACAACAAGGAGGGTGCTAGGTCCGGTCTCTTCCTGTCTGCTTCTCTTCAGTACTTGGTCAGAGCTTGGGGTACACTGGAGATTGAGGCTCCTCCTGCTGTCCCTGCCCGGAGTTATGCAGTATATTAAGCACTCAGGGGAACAGTATTGGAGTGGTCAGGAGCTCTGGAGACAAACAACTCCATTGCTTACCAACTTCCTTAGTCAACTCACTTAAGTTCTCGGAACCTCAATTTCCTCATCTATAAAGTGTGGGTGATGGTATTACCTACTGTGAGGGGTAGTTGAGGTGTTGTGAGAATCACATAAGATGATTCAAGAAAAGAGCCCCGCATAGAACATAGCAGAGTAAAGGTTCAGGAAATGGTAGCCATTGCTATCACTTCCTAGTAGTTTAAGGTAACAAACATTCCAGTTCCAGCCCTTCAGAACTGAAAAGCTGCATGCGTGCAGCTCTCGGTTACTCTTCTGTAAAGGAGCTCATCATAGCTAAGGGTCTGCAGACCATACTATCAGAGTAAAAAGCATCAGCAAGGAAGTACTTCCTGCCCTGGGTCCAGTGGTCAGAGGGGCCTCTGGCAAGGGAGGCTGCCTAATTACTCTGACCAGCAATCATTTAAGCCTAATAAGAAGGATCTGACTTCATTTGTTTTCTTCCTTGGTGGGTCCTGGGGGAAGGCATGGAGGTGGGGGCAGGGGGCAGGGAGAAGGGAGGTTGATGGGAAATGTCTCTGCAGCTTGTGTCTGTATGTAGTGTTTGCTGGGTTCTCCTCACCACCCCTGGGCATTCCCCTGTCCCTGTAGGTAGCTGCTCTTCCACTCGAGCCTGGCATCTTTCCTTCTGGGTAGCAGAGCCAGCCCTTGCCTAAAGTCCCCTGGGAAGTGTTTTTGGGTTTGAGGGATGGGGCCCAGCATCTCTGGGGTGGGCTTCATCCCTGACAGATCTCTGTCTTCCCTGCTTTGCCCAGGGAGCACCCCATCTTCTTCATGTTCATCCAGATTGCTGTCATCTCCATCTTCAAGTCCTACCCAACAGTGGGGGATGTGGCACTCTACATGGCTTTCTTCCCCGTATGGAACCATCTCTACAGATGTGAGTACTCTCTGGTGGGAGATTTCTATCAGCCTGGCCTCTGGATGAGATAGCCAGGGGAAAAGGAATTGCTGGGCATTTACTAGGCATTTGCTGTAGTAGCAGCACCAGGATTTGACATGAAGCACAGTATCACCCCCTAGGTGCTGATGGGCCAGTGATGATAATAAAATAACTATCATTTATTGAGCACTTACTATGTACCTTGTCACTGTGGTTCTAAGGGTTACATCAGCTAATTTTTTCTTCTAAGCAGCCTTATGAGGGAAGTGTCGCCATTGCAGGTGAAGTAAGGAAAGGTAGAGACACTGTCACATGGCTAGTAAGTGGAAGGGGTAGGATTAGAATCCAGATTTATGGGCCTCTAGCCAGCGTTGTCCAATAGAACTTTATGTGACAATAGAAATGCCCTATATCTGCCTGTCCAACAGAGTTAGCCACTAGTGATTGAGGAATTAAATTTTTTTTTTAATTTTATTGTGATTTGAGTGAAAGTTTACAGAGCAAATTCGTTTTCCATGTAGAAGTTCATACATATTTTGTTTCATAATATTGACTGCTATTCCCCACAACGTAACAGCATTCTTCCCACTTCCTCCCGTAGTTACCTCTTCCCAGTTTCTTTCTTTCCTGTGCATTCCTGCCCCCTGAGCTATGACCCATGCAAATACTGCCCTTCTATTCTCCCATGATTGATCGCTCTAAGGAGTGTCTAGCTGATGTAAATGTTCACCCTATATGCCTGTCTGTTGTTTGTCTTGAAGCCACGGGAGTGAGTTCAGTTTCAGACCTGAAGGGTAACTAGGGGCCATGGTCTCAGGGGTCTCATCAGGCTCTATGAGACAAGTAAACCTGGTCTTTTTTTATGAGAGGAAGTGAATTTTAAATTTCATTTAACTTTCATTAAGTTACATTTAAGAAGCCACATGTGGTTGGTGGCTACTGTTTTGCATAATGTAACTCTAAATAGCATAGTGCCTAAGGCACTTGACTGCTAACCAGAAGGCTGGTGGTTCAAACCCACTGGCCACTCCTCAGAAGGAAGATAGGGCAATCTACTTCCGTAGTTATACTGCCTCAGAAACCCAAGGAGGGGTAGCTAAAAGTCGGGTCCGACTCGACAGCACATAACAACAACAACAACATCAACAAATCATGGAAGTGCAACTCTAGACCCCACTGCTACACCCAGAAGTTCTGAGAAGACAGATGGGCAACACTAGACTTTCTGGTCACTGCAAACATCCCCTTAAGCTCTGACCATCCCTTCCTCAGAAGATGGCTTAGCGGTGATCTGGCTGTGCTCCTAGGCCCCCAATTTCCCTTGTTAAGCTCTTAGTTCTCTGTGATAGGTTGTTTTCAGTGTTTGTGGGTTCCCGTAGGGCAGGAATCATGACTCATTCACCTCTGTATTCCCAGCACCCAGGATTAGCCTTACATACAGTAGGAACTTGGCAGATGTCTGTGGAGAATAGATTTTTAAAACCTCCATAAAAAAGAGGCAGTGTCAGTGAGCCAACACTTGATTCTCTAAAATGAAGTGGGGAAGGGAGTTGTTGAAATTTCCTTGCTTACTGAGAGTGCACATCAGGGTGTTAAGAATGGACACAGGGGTGCAAGCTTCAGAGGAAGTGAGTCTTTGTTTTTGTTTGGGGCTGTCTGGGTGTTAACCAGGAAGTGAAACTAACCAGCTGCCAGCAAGAAGCCTACCTGTAAGAGTGGGCCTGAGTGGAGGTAAACAGCTGGCTAGGCGTGCCAAGCCAAGGCTGCTCTTACAGGTGGTGGCCTGATGGGGCAGTGCCCAGTCTGGCCTGACTGGAAGGAGGAGGTGACATCTGTTGCCTGTGACACCCTCATTGCATAGGTAAGAATCACCTAGTCCAGCAGGCTCAGAGTCAGCTTGTGGTCCCTCAGCAGAGTAACCAGTGACAAATAACAAGGTCACCAAATGTGAGCATGTCCTAGGTTGTGACAGGTTGGGTTTTGGGTACATTGATTCTCTCTTCCCAAAAGTAGCATGTTTTCCTGAATTCATCTATCTCACATAGGGCATTCTTTCTCCCTAGGATTAATATCTTTCATTCCATGTTACTGAACACAGTCTGGAGCCAGACTTTCCCAGTACTAGCTCTGTGTCCATAAGTAAACCATTTAACCTCTCAGCCTTAGTTTTTTCACCTGTCAAATGGGGAGAGTATCTTTCACAGGCATTTTGAGTTTGAGAATGAGTAGATGTAAATAGCACTGTGGTTATTATCATCAGTAATGATTGTGCACGGGGTTCCCCTGCATGGTTCCATGGTCAAAGCTTCAGGCTTGGTAGCCATCAGAGTCGTTGGAATAAACATATTTTTAAAACTTGAGGTAAGCCATTTTATGTCCTTTGTGGTGATGAGGCACAAAGAATAAGGATGAGGTTTCTGGAAATCTGGATGATCCTAGTAAGTGTTGTTGCTGGCTGGCTGAGCAAACAGATTATAGGCTCTTCTTACCTGAAGCTCCAGCAGAGGGTGTTGGCTGCCATCCCTCCTGCCCAGCTCCTGAGGCATGCAATACTCATGCTTGGAGTCCTTATTTGGGGCATGACAACTGTGAGTCATTACATTCAGCAAGGAGTATCTTCAGCCCTGATCCTTTGGAGACTTTGAGAAGTCTTTAAGCCTAGGTTGAACAGAGTCAGAATTTTAATGTGGCTAGGAGTTTAGTTTGAACATAAGTTACCAGTGCTAATATGCCTGATCTCACATTCCCCTTTCTGTTGTTCTGGACTGGTCAGTGGGGAGGAGAAGAAGAACGTGAGTCTTTTTCTTCCAACAGGCCTCAGATGCTGGACTCTGGTACATGGGGCCAGGATGAGTCATACAGACACAATTGCAGCATTAGGGAACAGCCTACTGGCAGAGCAGTGCCAGCCTGCACCGGGCCATCAGAAAGAGCCAGTTACCAAAGGGCTGGACGTTTTGGGCACGTTTTGTTTTCCTTGTGCTAACTATTGTATAGAGATTAAAGAATATTAATAAAAACTCATATAAATTATAAAGAATAACAATACAATTCATTTCCATGTACTTAGCACCTAGTTTAAGAAAGGGGACATCACCATGGCCTTTGAAGTCCCCAGATCCCCTCTGTGTCCTGCCTGATGGGACTGATTCTTTAAACAAAATTTTATTTCTGAATATTTGAGGCTCAGAAGGAGAATGACTTGTCTGAAGTCCCACTGTTTGGTCATAGTGGAGCCAGAGATGGGTAAGCACCCAGTGGGTGAAGTGGGGAATCTGATTCTATCTGGCCTAGCAGGTCTGATGAATGGTGAACCCTTTGGTCTTGTTAGACTCTAGTCATCTCTGACATCTCTAACACTTTCTGGTGCCTGGAACAAACTGTCCTGTGCCCTGGATCCCTAGTTCCATCTGTTCTGGCATATAGCTTTAATCCTCTGGCCTGTCAGCCAGCAAGAGTGAGTAGTGGCTCCCAGTTCCTGCAAAGGTCACCACAGGCCAGGAGCCAGCTGGATGCTGATGACATTTCCCCCAAGCACATAGGGATGTGTCGTTACTGCTCTTAGTGATTGAACCCAGGAGCTGCATGAGAACCTCTCTCAGTCTCTTTACACTTGGTCATCTTCCTGTCACCCCATCTGAAATCCAGAGGCATGGAACAAAGACTCTGTTAGGCCACGGAGTTTAATTTTAAGAATAGTACGTCTTTGTCAGCAAAATAAGTTCCAGGGGAGCAGAAGGAATCGATGAAGAATGTAAATAGTGATGTTGGAGAAGAGAAATGGTAAATAGCTTTATTTTCCTTTTTTGGGTTGTAATATTGTTTAATAATGATAATGATGATTATTATTCTGAGTGCAAACATTCCTGTTCTCAGACTGGTTAGTCCTGGGAGCAGAGGAAGAGGCTGCCTTGGGCAGGGGGTGGATCTCTTGAAGGCTTGAATCAAGGCTCAAACCTCTCAGCTTTGAAAGCCCAGATTGTAGTAGTTACAGGTTAGAAAAGAGGACCTAGGATGCCCTCCAGGCCAGTGTTCCCAAATTCTGGAATTTCACAGACCACTACAATTCAAAGAACATCTGGCAGGATGACAGAGTTGCCAACTCTTTATTGTGCTGAAGATGTCAAAACAGTCAACCTACCAGCCACTCATCTCCATTTCATAAAAGAGGACTTTTTAATAGCAGCAACAGAGACACCTATCATTTCACAATAAAGAATGAACCTTGAGTTGAAAACATTCAGCTTCAGAAAGAACTGTGAACTACCTTGTGCTGATTGTTGTTGCTTTTGACACAGCTCAGTCAAGTCTGTGTCGTGCACTGTAAGGTCTGCAGCCTCTTCTGTGGGTATTGTTTGGGTATTGTTGCTGCAATCCAGTAGCTGCCCATTGCAATCACCTGGGAAGCTTTGGGCCTCACGCCTAAAGAGCCCAACTTAATTAATCTGCGTAGGGCCAGGCAACTAAATATTTTTTTAAAAAAACTCCCCAGTGATTCCAATGTGTAGCAAGTTTGAGAACCACTGCTTGCTTTAGAGGTTCTGATTTAACTAGTCTGGCCAGGCATCTGCCCCCCACCCCACCCCCCAAGCTCACAGGTGATTCTGTTGTACAACCAGAATTGAGAATCATGTCTGTACTTTAGTCCCCTTTTTGATTCCTGCACCCTCTGTATGGCCTTTCTACTAAGTAGCTGTACAGCTGGAGCAATCAGGTCTTAAATTTTGGACAGCTCTGACTTTGGAGAAGGGAATTCTTTTTTTTTTTTTTAACTTTTTTTTTAAATTGTGATTTGTGTGAAAATTTACAGAGCAAACTCACTTTCCATACAGCAATTCACATACACTTTGTCTCATAACAGTGACCGCTCTTTACCACAATGCAACAGCTCCCCTCCCACTTCCTCCCAATAGTTACCTCTTCCTTGTGTCTGTCCCTCCATGCACTCCTGCCCCCTGGGCTGTCTCCCTGTGCATAAGCAGCCCTTCTTTCTCCCATGATTGTTCTCTCCAAGGAGTGCATCCACCTTAGGTAAATGTTCAACTCATATGCTTATGTCTTGTTTGGTTGGAAGCCACAGGTGTGGGCCCAATTCCAGACCCGAAAGGCAGCCAGGGGCCATAGTTTCAGTGGTTCCACCAAACTCTATCAGACTAGCAAGCCTGGTTCCCCCCCCCCTTTTTTTTATCAGAGACTCGACGGCACATAACAACAACACAACAAGAGTTTGAGTTTTTTTGCCCCCTAAATGATTTTGAGTCCTGCTCTACATTCTTTTCCCTCTCTATCCAGGATCTCCTCCATAGATCCCCCTCCAAATGGTTGACAGTGGTAGCCAGGCACCATCTAGCTCCTCTGGTCTCACAGTTGTATAGGCTGCAGATCGCATGGTTTTCCAATCACTAGGACCAAGTGTTTCCATGAATCTTTGGTTCTCCTCATTCCTCTTTGCTCTGGACAAGGAGAGACCCATTGCTGCATCTAGATGGCTGCGTGCAAGCTTTTAAGATTCCAGTCGCTGCTCACCAAAGTAGGAGGTGGAACAGTGTTTTGTGTAGTATGCCATGCCAGTTGAGCCTGATGTCTCCTGTGACTATAGTCTTGAGCCCACAGGTTCAACCACTCGGTCCCTCTGGGTAGCTGGCTATAACCAAGAAGTGACTACAGCCTTGTCCCTTGTCAGCTCTGCTATACACCTGGGAATTCTTACAGATCATACAAATACACTTACAGGACCATTGTCTGCCAACCCTTTCCATGGTCTTGGGTACACTCCCTGCTTCTTGAACATGCCTAATAGTTCAGCCTATCCACCCATATACCCATGTTTGCCTTCACTGACAACGCAGTACTGTATGTGCAAAAGGGTTCATCTTTGTTGTCTGTACTTCCCATGTACCTCTCTGTCTTCCTCTTCCTCAGTGTACATTTGGTACATTGCCCTTCTCTTCACCCAAATCAATATTTATCTCCACTTATCTAATCATGTTCCCTCTCCTCCCACCCCTGGTATCAACAAAGAAAATTTCCTTCCATATATACACCTCTCCTTGACTTTTACAGTAACAGACTAATACAGTATTTGTCTGGAGAAGGGAATTCTTGATGGCCAGTTTTAGAGATGGGGAAACAGGCTCAGAGAAACTGGCTAATAAATGACAGAGCAGGGATTTTAATCAAGGTCCCTCTGAGGCTAAGCCTGTGCCCTGCCATCATGCTCCTTTCCCTTCCAGCCTGTCCATAGGGCCACCCTAGTGTGGCAGGTCCACTGAGGCCACACTTTTGCCCTGATGGAATTCACCTTGTCCTCTGAGGGTAGAGGAGTGATGTCAGAGAGGGAAGGTTTCAAAAAGATTTTTAAATCATCATCTGAGGAAGAGTGATGGACAATATGAAGAGGAAGATAGAGGACTTAAGATGAATTAAGGAGAATAAGCAACACATTCCTCAGACCTGGGGCTGTGGCACTATGGACTCTAATTTCCATGGATTCATTCTGCGATATACATCCATGACTGGACATGGCCAGAAAGTACCCTGGTTGGGGAGAGTGGAGGAGTTACTCTTGGACAATGTGAAGTTGGGGACAGAGGGATGATGCTGCTGAAACACCCTCTTTGCAGTACCCAGAGGCATTCTCAGCATGGCCAGTTATAGCTGGTATTGGCCAACCCAGCCCACAGTGAGAAGTATAGCATTAAAATCTATGATCCTCTCCAGCTGGGGGCATGGAGAGCCATTGACTCAGGGATCTGAGGTTGGCCTCTTGCCACCCTAGTGCCTTGGGGTTGGAGGTCTTTGCCTTTAAGCTACACGAGGCTCTCTGTGGGCCTCTGTCCTGTGGTGTCATCACAGCAAGGAGAGAGTCCCACAGAGAATTGGCATTGGGCTAACTGTGACCTTTTGTCCTTGCAGTCCTGCGAAACATCTTTGTCCTCACCTGTATCATTATCGTCTGCTCTCTGCTCTTCCCCGTCCTGTGGCACCTCTGGATTTATGCAGGAAGTGCCAACTCTAATTTCTATTATGCCATCACACTCACCTTCAACGTTGGGCAGGTAAGAGTTGAGGGTAGCATGGAGACAGGGATTCATTGTGTAGTCTTAGGCATTCGATCAAAGCTACCCTGGTTCTGCATACTAGAGGTTTGGACATGGATGAGGGATCATTCTCTGCTCAAATAGTATTTATTGGTATCCTGCTGAGCCATCATCTCCTTGAATTCTCACAGCAATTCTATGAGATAGATAGTGTTGTTGCTGTTTTACAAATGGAGACTTGAAGCTCATGGAGGTTGTCTCTTAGCCAAGGAGCCAAGAACTAGATTCAGATAAGGCTTGATTTCTGAGCCTGCCTTCTTTCTGTAACAATGTCTGGTGTGCTTTGTGCCTATAGTGAGTACACCAAATGAGGGTGGGGAAGGACAGGGGCAAGGAGAGGAAAAGCTTTCCAAACTCTGGGGCAGCAGGAGCAAAGCAAAGGTGAGAATCTGCAGTGTTGACGCCAGGAGCAGTGGGAGGAGGCTGGGGGTCAGAAGGTGAGGAGCACCAGCAGGGTGGGCCTCTGACTGGGAAAGCCTCTTCCTGGCTCTGTAGGGCAGTGGTTCTCAAGCATCAGAATCATTGTGGGGAGCTTGCTAAAAATTCACAGTCCCTGATCCCATTCCCAGAGATATAGATTGATTCCGTGTGGAATAGGAGGTCAGGAATTTGTCATTTTTAACAAGTTCTCCGAGAGGTTCTGTTGGAGGTGGTCCAGCACATCCTTTGTGGAGATGTTCTTCCCTCTCTGAGGTTCCTAGTCCACCACACTGCTTTCTTCCAGGTCAGGCTCTAGCCTCATCACTGAGGTCTTAATGAGAATCAGTTGGAACTGTTTCCCACGTCAGTTGCCCTTACCACAGTCAGGAATTTCCTGTGCTTAATGGACTGGATGGGAAGCAGGGATGGCTGGAAAAACTAATGATGTCAGTAGATTATCCCCAAGGAAATTCTTGCCTCTAAGCTTAGCTGCTGGGAAGAAAGAAGGGAGTGCAGGCATTTTCATTGAGTGAAGGGACTGGTATTTCCTGGCATGGGCATTCCTGGAGAATTAATGTCCAGCCCAGCCATTTATGTTGGTTTGTGAATAGCAGGAAGAGAAGTGGAGGGCCCCATAGCTTGGGTGGGACCAGGCCAGAAGGCCTATTCTGCCTGTCCCCTGGTGGTTATAGCTGGTAAATGCCCAGCATCTCCTACCTCTGTCCCACACAGACAGAAGTCCTCAGGGTTCAATTTGGCATCTTGAACAACTCTGAAGAGTGGTTCTGGCTGTTCTGCTTGCTGGAATCCCTTTTACTTTTTTTTGACAGTAATGAGTGGGATGTAAAGGCAGTTGGGCCTAAACATGGGCTTGTGGTGAGGTTGGCGAGCTCCACCTAAGACATCTGCAGCCTATTGCCATGTCACAAGTCTCAAGTTTGGGTCAGGAAATAAGTTGCAGTGATTATGAAGCGTTCATGGAACTTGCCAGATAATAGCCCTTCCACTGTGGCTGCCTTTATGAGAGAAGGGTCTTTTGTAAACAGCATGGGTCTGCTGTGTTAGGTGCTGTCAAAGGCAGGAAAAACTGAATTGTTGGGAAAAGAATGATTGTGGTTGATGTGGGAACCAAAGGCCAGGATGAAGTATGTTAGTGGCCAAGCTATGGAGAAAATTTGGGCTGAATCTTTGTGATTGTCTTTCACCTTCTTAAAATTTATTTTTAAACATACAAGTAATAGATGAATTCATTATTTCTTGGGGAAAGAATTTAAACAATATAAGAATATGGAATGAAAATTATCACCTGAGCCCACATCCCTCCCCACACCCATGGCAGATATGGTCACTGGGATCAGTTTGGTGTGTGTCTTTGCGTACTTTTTCTGTTCATTCTGTTCATTTATAGACAGATCTAACAAATCATAGGCACACAAAAAGAAATTTTTTGTTTGTATAAATAAATGGCATTGTATTCTAAGTACTGTTCTTTAACTTACTGTTTTTTACTTAATGATCTGATTTTGAGAGAATTTTTAAAATGGCTCCATCATATGACATAGTTAGGGTATACAGTGATTGATTTTACTAGACCCTGTTGAGGTATATTGAGTTTGCTTCCATTTATTTTGCTGCTATACATAGAGGAACCTTATGTATCCCTTCACATATTCTTATACTCCCATCTTAGTTTTTTCTTAGGATGTATTCCAAGTGGTGGGATTTACTGAGTCAGACGGTGTATGCATTTTATGTTTTGGCAGATATTGCCAAGTTGCCCTTTGGACAGGTTGTACTGATCTGCAGGCTGCCCAACAGTGATCCTAGTACCCTATAAGCCAGCAGTTTGTTCAGGCATCTGGCCTACCCGTGTCTTCTGCCTCCTGGGGTCTGGGAGCTGTGAGAGCTTCAGACAGCTCTGTTGAGTCAGATGGTTCCTGGGACTGCTGGCTTTGGTCCTTGCTGCTGCTGCCAGATCATAGAGGGATGTGTGTCGACACACCAATCACCATCCTAAACTAGAGATGGTTTCCTCATCGTGAGGGTTACACTACCCCTGCCCTTGGGAGTCACAAAGTGCAAATAAAGGAAATTAGGATTTTGTTATGTTGTTGTTAAATGCTGTTGAGTCACTTCTGACTCATAACCACCCTGTGAACAACAGAACGACACACTGCTCATTTGTGGGCCATCCCCACAGTTGTTGCTATGTTTGAACCCATGGTTGGAGTCAGTGTCAAACCATCTTGCTGAGGCTCTTCCTCTTTTTCACTGACCCTCTACTTTGCCAAGCATGATGTCCTTCTCCAGGGACTGGTCCCTTCTGATAACATGTCTGAAGTACATGAGATGAAGTCTTGATGACTGGGGAAGAGCTGCTTCCTGAAATCAGAGTCAACTTTAATGACATGGATTAGAATTATAGTAAGAATAAAATGTTACTTCTTCAAAGAGGCCTTTCAGAAGGTTCCCCTGCCCCACTTTTCTTTTTCTTAGCCCATTTGTTTGCTTCATATCACTTATCTAATTTGTTATTTTATATTATTTATTTGCTTCCCTGTCTGCCTGCCCCACTAGCCTGTGAGCTTCATGAAGACAGAAGGCATGCCTTTCTTTTCTATATCAGGGTCCCAACTACCAGATCAATACTTGGCACAGAGAAGTTGCTTAGCAAATATTTGTTGAGTGAATGAATGTACCAGTGATAGCCAGGGAGCATATCTGTGATTAATGGCCAAATGTGCAGAGAATAATTGTAGGAGGAACCTAGAGGGAACGAGATCACCTTTCCTGTAGTGAGTGGCCACGGAAAGCCTTAGAGCATGCGGGGTGGGGCCTGAGCCTTGCCAGACATGAAGAATGAGAGGGGTAGGGGGTGCTTTAGGAGGTGGGCAGGACAGGGGCCTGAAAACCCCCACTGGTTGAGGTCAGTGGGTAGGCAACTCTGTCCCCAACCCTAAGTCTCTGCTAGAACCTGGGGGCTTGTGGCTGGTGGAGCCCCTACATGTCCTCTGCAGCCAACTATTGTCAGTGCTTCTGTTGAGTTGGATGGCATTTGGGGAGGTGTCCACAGTCCCACTGACAGCTTTTCTCAGCCCTTCCACCTGGGAAGTGCTCTGTAGTCACTTGGTTCTCATTCTCCCCTCTCAGGGCAGGATAAATCAGTGCTGTCCTGGAAACCAGATGAGTATGGATTTCAGCAGCCGCTCATAGCCTGGACCATCATTGCTGACTCATGAGCTGAATATAGAGAACATCTTGGCCTGTAGGGTTTTTTCAAAGTACTGTTCTGTTTGAGTTGGTCATTGCCATACTTTATTATAGAACAAAGTATTTGTAGATTAGTAGTTACGCTGGCAGGTAGACCGGTGATTCAGGCATCGTCCTTTGCTCTGGAGGTCATTAAGTATTTTTCAGCATGTGGCATGGACCATTTGCTAATTATAATTGAGTCAGTAACTAGGAAATGACAGTAGTAAGCCATCCAGAGGTGTGTGTGCATGTATATTTGTGTGTGTGTGGGTGGTATATGTATATTTGTATAAGAAGTGTGGGAAGTATATATGTGTATATATAAGAGAGAGAGAGAACTAGTGAGAGAGAGAGCTTGAGATAGATTATTTATGGACCTCCTGTAGTTCCTTACTATGGGTGACCTTGAGCAAGTAGTTGAACTTCTCTGGGTTGCAGTTTTCCCGCCTTTAAAATGGGATTGATAACCCCACCTCACAGGGTGTTGAGGGAGTTGGACATAATGTGTGTGTCTTATTGCCATCATTCATGTGTTGACATAGGAAACAGCAAGTATCTCTAAATACCCAAATAAATTCTTAGGGAAACATTCAGTCCCATAAATCTAGGAAAGGGAAACAGTTTTTCTCCTCTTTTTTTTTTTTTTTCAAATCTTTTGTTTTGAGAGTCAGTGATCAGCAGAAGAAAAATATTGATCAAGGATACATATAAACAAAAAGGAGCTTGTTTAAATTTAGATTTTTTAAAGAGTATTGTGAAATGTCCTACTAATCCTAATTCAACTTAAACAGGAAAGGTAAGGAGATCTCTTTCCAAAATTATAATTAATAGTAGCTCATGTTTAAGGAGAACTTCCTAGGAGCCAGGCCCATATGATCCCTTTAATTTTCTGGATCACGTTCTTGTTTGTCCTTCTGGACCTTTCCCTGTACATTTACATACTCATGTGTTCATGCAGAAAGTGTGTGTACATTTACATACTCATGTGTTCATGCAGAAAGTGTGTGTGTGTGTGTGTTTACATACTCATGTGTTCATGCAGAAAGTATATGTATGTGTGTGTGTTTTATTGGCATCATGCTAAAAGTGTGACTACCCCCCTCCCCATACCTTTTAATAACTATCTAGGTGATATTTCCTTATTTATATATGAGAGAGGTATCTCTCTTTTTTTTAAAAACAAATTCACCATTTTATTTTATTTACTTTTCAGTAGTTATTAAATCCTTGAGGGACACAGCATCACCTGGATTTTGTGTCCAATGGCCTTAGCAGGAAAATTGCTT